ATGATGTATTCGTCCTGTGCTCAGTAAATCTGCATTTTACGTAAGATAAACAGAATAGAGGAAGTCAAATACACATTTGTCTTGGGTGGACAGAGATTGTTTTTTATTTTTTAATTTTTGTTGGTTGGTTGTTCGAGACAGGGTCTAGCTCAGTTGCCCAGGCTGGAGCGCAGTGGTGCAATCATGGCTCACTGCAACCTTCCAGGCTTAAGCAATCCTTAAGATAAGAAGATTTCTCTTCTTATCTTTGTCCCCTGCCGGTGAAGATAAGCTGTGAATTTACGTGGCCAGGGTGAGGGAGGCCACCAGGGGAGATAGGTGACCTTCTGGTTTACAGCCATCTGCTTAGGGACAAAAGGCTATCGTGTGACTCAGTTCCCAAGCTTAACATTTCCCTTTGGCATAGTGAGTGTGGGGTCCCATATTTTTTGTTTGTTTGTTTGTCTTGTTTTGTTTTTTTCTTGAGACAGAGTCTCAGTCTGTCGCCCAGGCTGGAGTGCAGTGGCACAATCTCAGCTCATTGCAACCTCCACCTCCCAGTTCAAGGGATTCTCCTGCCTCAGGCTCCTGAGTAACTGGGATTACAGGCGCGCATCACCACGCCCAGCTAACTTTTTGTATTTTTAGTAGAGACGGGGTTTCACCATGTTGGCCAGGCTGGTCTAGAACTCCTGACCTCAAGTGAGCCACTATGCCCGGTCTGGGCCTCATCTTTGAGGGGCCTGCTAAGCTTCTTTCTATCCTGCAGGCTTCGTAGAGCTCTGACTTTGAGTCTCGCTCTGTCCTGGCACAGGAGAAGACAGAGGCGTGGCATTGTGGGCTGAGAGCAACAGATTTAGAGGAAACTATCTTAAAGATTAAGCCTGCTTTCTACAGCTACTGTAGCCGATGCCAGGCATGGTGGTTCACATCTGTAATCCCAGCATTTTGGGAGGTTGAGGCAGGCAGATAACCTGAGGCCAGGAGTTTGAGACCAGCCTGAGCAACATGGTGAAACCCTGTCTCTACTAAAAATACAAAAATTAGCCAGGCGTGGTGGTGGGCACCTGTCATCCCAGATACTCGGGAGGCTGAGGCAGGAGAATCGCTTGAACCCAGGAGGCGGAGGTTGCAGCGAGCCAAGATCATACCACTGCACTCCAGCCTGGGTGACAGAGTGAGACTCTTAAAATAAAAAAAAAAGAAAGAAAGAAATGTAGGGGAATCTGAGACATCAGGAACCCAGGGCTCATGGTAGAGTGGAAAGACCAGGGCTTTGGGGTCGACACAGAGTACTCCTGGTGCTTAGGGACTGTGTGACCTTGGGCAAGTTTCTTTACTTCTCTGAGCCTCTGTGTCCTTGGCTGCAGTGTCCATCTGCACACAGTGATGTGTGTGGTCCAGGCCATCCTTTCTCTGTTCTGTGCACGCACGGCCGTGCCTGCTGAGAATCCTGCCACCAAAGATTCTTCAGTGGCATGGGGACAGATGGAACGTGCCGTCGCTTCCCTGCAGGCTCTAGGAGCTGGTCCTTGGGCCCAGGACTCCATCACAGTGGTCTGCACGGGATTTGGACAAGGGTGGCCTTGATTCTTCCCACATCCTAGTCCTGAAAGAAACGGCCATGTTGGGCCACAGGAGAAGAGGAGGGTTCTAGGGGATGTGGAGCGTGGGGTCTTGGTGTGGCTGAATTAGAGGCATTACTCCACAAGATAGGGACACGGGAGGAGGACATTGTCTGGGATGGCTGATGTTTGCAGTGTATCTGGGCACCCAGGGGGGCTGGCAGGCGGTGCCTGAAGACAGATGCAGCAACTCAGAGATGTGAGGAGATTCCTGAGTGTGGGTGTGGACGGACCAGGGCAGGGACCTGCAGGGTTTGGAAGGACCTGAGGTGGTGGGTGTTGGAGCCCTGGGAAAAGGAGGAACCAGGCCAAGCAGGTGCCCAGCCTCTCTCCTGTGGGAAGCTCCCTGCTCTTTGGGGCAACCCCCACATTGGGAACAGGGCCTCCCTTCTGGGCAGCTTGTGCACGGGAGGCCAAACCACCCAAATGGGGTCAGCAGACTCCAAGCAGCACAGAGTACCAGCCCAGGAGATGCAGTTCCCAAGGCAGCCTCTAAACAGAAGTGAGCTCTTCCCAGAGTTTTCAAGATTAAAAGAGCCAGGCACAGTGGCTCCCAACTGTAATCCCAGCACTTTCGGAGGCTGAAGCAGGAGGATCGCTTGAGCCTAGGAGTTGGAGAACAGCCTATGCAACAGAGAGAGACTCTCTCTACAAAAAAAATTTTAAAAAAACTTAGTCTGGCATGGTGGTCCGTGCCTGGAGCCCCAGCAACTTGAGAGGCTGAGCGGGGAGGACTGCTTGAGCCAAAGAGTTCAAGAGTTATGAGAAGATGCAAGAAAGCAGGCCAGGTGTGGTGGCTCATGCCTGTAATCCCAGCACTTTGAGAGGCTGAGGTAGGCAGATCACCTGAGCTCAGGAGTTCAGGACCAGCCTGGCCAACATGGCAAAACCCCATCTCTACTAAAAATACAAAAATTAACTGGACGTGGTGGCAGGCGCCTGCAGTCCCAGCTCTCAGGAGGCTGACTCACGAGAATGACTTGAACCTGGGAGGCAGAGGTTGCAGTGAACCGAGACGGTGCCACTGCAGTCCAGCCTGGGCAACAGAGTGAGACTCTGTCTTGGAGAAACAAAGAGGAAAAAAAACAGGAGTCATTTTGTTCCAAAGACCCATCAGTCTGCTCTGCCCTACATCATCCGGCCCTGGCTCCCTGCCTGCCTCTAGCTCCACTCCCCCAACATCTCCCCCTTACCCGACCCGCCTGCCCCAGAGGCCCAGCCCATGTGACCCCACGCTTCTCAGAGAGGAGATTTCCTGTTGGACATGCAAACCACCCTTCCTGCAATCCCAGTCCCATCCTCATCCCTGGCACAAGCCTGCAGGCTGCTGCAGAGCTCTACCCCAGACCCCATCTCCAGCCCAACCACCCCTCAGCCTTACAGCCCAGCTCAGGCCCCGTCTCCAGGGCCAACTGACCCCAGCAGCTTCTCTAGGCTACAGGGAGGGGACAGCGGAGCACGCCGGGGCTCAAGCAGCAGATAGGCCATGACGGTTGCCTGGGCAGTGAGCAGGGAGAATGCCACAGCCCCCACACTCCCAGACACGGTCTGTTTCCCATTCACAGACCTTGGCCAGCGAGCAGTCAAGGGATTTCCAACAGCCCAGCACAGTCACACCAGCCCCTGTGCACAGACCCTGCTTGGCCCATCAGTTGTCTCCCCTGTACCACCCCGAAGTTCAGCCACTTCCAGGACACAGGATCTTCCTTTTTTTTTTTTTTTTTTTTGAGACGGAGTTTCACTCTTGTTGCCCAGTCTGGAGTACAGTGGCGCGATCTTGGTTCACTGCAACCGCTGCCTTCCAGGTTCAAGCAGTTCTCCTGTCTCAACCTCTTGAGTAGTTGGGATTACAGGTGCCTGCCACCACAGTTGGCTAATTTTTGTATTTTTAGTAGAGACGGGATTTCGCTGTTGGCCAGGGTGGTCTCGAATTCCTGACCTCTGGTGATCTGCCCATCTCAGCCTCCCACAGTGCTGGGATTACAGACGTGAGCCGCCGCACCCGGCCAACACAGGATCTTTCACCCTTGAGTGCCTGTGATTGGATGGTCCTTCTGCCCCGTTGTCTTCCCACTGCCACTCCATCCTTCACAAACTCCTACCTGCCTTTTTGGAGTCCGTTTTTTTCTGTTGTTGTTTTCATTTTTGTTTGAGACAGGTCTCCGTCTCCCAGGCTGGAGTACAGTGACGTGATCTCTGCTCACTGCAACCTCCACCTCCCAGGCTCAAGCGATTCTCCTGCCTCACCCTCCCGTGTAGCTGGACTGCAGGTGCCCGCCACCACGCCCAGCTAATCTTTTTGTATTTTTAGTAGAGACAGGGTTTCACCATGTTGGCCAGGCTGGTCTCAAACTCCTGGCCTTAAGTGATCTGCCTGCCTCGGCCTCCCAAAGTGCTGGGATTATAGGCATGAGCCACCATGTCAGGCCTTGAGAGCCCATTCAAGCATCCTGCTCTCCTGGGGGAGTTCTCCCCAGACTTGCCCAGACAGGGTGGGCATCCTGATTCATGCCGCTTGTCTCCTAAGTGTGTTCTGTTGTACTTTGGTGACCAGGTGACACCCCCTCTGGCTGGGATCCCCTCAGGGGAGCAGCCCTGTCTCTTCTCTTTAGGTTGTTTTGTGCCCAACACAGGGCCTGTGCTGGGGACACTGGTAAGAAAATGTGGGATGGGCTGGCCACCGTGGCTCACACCTGTAATTCCTGAACTTTGGGAGGCCAAGGCAAGAGGATCACTTGAGGCCAGGAGTTCAAGATCAGCCTGGGCAACATAGCGAGGCTCCACTCTAACAAAAATTTAAAAAATTAGGCGTGGTGGCGCACAACTATATTCCCAGCTACTCAGGAGGCTGAGGCAGGAGGATCACTTGAGCCTGGGATTTGGAGGCTACCATGAGCTATCTATGATCGCAGTACTGCCTTCCAGCCTGGATGACAGAGCAAGACCATGTCTCAAAAAAAGATAAATGGATGGATGGACAGACCAACAACTGAGACTAGAAACCAGCTACCGCCGGGCACAGTGGCTCAAGCCTGTAATCCTAGCATTTTGGGAGGCCAAGGTGGGTGGATCACCTAAGCCCAAGAGTTTGAGACCAGCCTGGGCAACATGGTGAAAACCTGTCTCTACTAAAAAACACAAAAATTGGCTGGGCATGGTGGTGTGTGCCTGTGATCCCAGCTACTTGGGAGGCTGAGGCAGGAGAATCGCTTGAACCTGGGAGGTGGAGATTGCAGTGAGCCGAGATCATGTCACTGCACTCCAGCCTGGGCAACAGAGCGAGACTCTGTCTCAAAAATAAATAAATAAAAATAAATAAATAAATAAATAAATAAATAAATAAACAGGTGCATGGGAGTGGGTGGGGCCTGCAGAAAATGTTTTGGCAAGTCAGGGATGCCTGGTGGGAGAAGCAGCAGGTCCAGTGGCCAAGCCGATGCCAACTCTCATGCCCCCTTGTCTTCTTCTTTAGATAAAGATGACACCAACAGACTCGGGGAGAAGGTGATCCTGTGGGAGCAGGTGAAGGAACCCTTCAACGAGAAATACGGTCAGTGCCTGTGGTTGGGATCAGCACACCAAGCCCTCCTCCAGGGGGAAGCAGGAGGCCCTCCCTCCCTCTGCAGCCAGCCTTGCCTTCAGAAGCCCCCAGCTGGCCTACCTGCTCCTTGGGGACATAGCTGCTCTGCCTATGACTCACATTTATTTATTTATTTTTTTTTTGAGACGGAGTCTCGCTCTGCCGCCCAGGCTGGAGTGCAGTGGCAGGATCTCAGCTCACTGCAAGCTCCGCCTCCTGGGTATACACCATTCTCATGCCTCAGCCTCCCGAGTAGCTGGGACTACAGGCGCCCGCCACGTCGCCTGGATTTTTTTTTTTTTTTTTTTTTTTTTTTTTTTTTTTTTTTGTATTTTTTAGTAAAGACGGGATTTCACTGTGTTAGCCAGAATGGTCTCGATCTCCTGGCCTCGTGATCCACCCGTCTCGGCCTTCCAAAGTGCTGGGATTACAGGCTTGAGCCACCGCGCCCGGCCTACCCACATTTTGTGTATGTTGATTTTCTTTTTTTTTTTAAACAGAGTCTCACTCTGTTGCCCAGGTTGGAGTACAGTGGTGCAATCTCTGCTCACTGCAGCCTCCACCTCCTGGGCTTAGGCGATCCTCCGGCCCCAGCCTCCCAAGTAGCTGGGACTACAAGCGTGCACCACCACTCCCAGCTAATTTTTCTATTTTTAGTAGACAGGAGGTTTCACCATGTTGCCCAGACTGGTCTTGATCTTCTGGGCTCAAGCGATCCTTCCGCCTCAGCCTCCCAAAGTCATGGGATTACAGGTGTGAGCCACCACACCCAGCCTGTGTGTCTTGATTTTTAAACTCTCTAGGTGTGATGGCTGCTGGGGTGGGGCAGACCAGACTCCAGCCCGCATCCACCGGCTGGAGAAGATCCTGAAGGCCCGAGAGCACGTCTGCATGGTGATCATTAACCAGCTCCAGTGAGGGCCTGGCCTCTGGAATGGCGAACAGAGAGGGCGAGGCCATGGGGAGGGTGAAAGTCAAGGTCACGGTGGATCAGCTGGGATCCAGACCCAGGTGTACTGTAATAGTTCCTGCCTCTTTCTCCTGAAACATACACTTCAACACTCACGGACATTTACTTATTTTTAAAGATTTTTTTTTTTTTAGATATTAAATTTGTTCTCTGGAGAAGAAACAAAAACAAAATATGTTTTCATTAAATTTGACTTTTTCTGATAATACAATTCTGATTTTTAACATATGTAAATTATAAATATGTATTTAAATATGAATGTTTAAATAAAATATGAATATTTATTTTTAAAAAATAATTATAATTCCATAGTCTCAGTGATTACTTTTTTTTCTTTTTTTTTGAGACAGGGTCTTGCTCTGTCACCCAGGCTGGAGTGCAGTGGCATGATCTCAGTTCACTGCAACCTTCACCTCCTGGCTTCAACCGATTCTCGTGCCTCAGCCTCCCAAGTAGCTGGGATTACAGGTGTGCACCACCATACCAGCTAATTTTTGTATTTTTTGGTAGAGATGCAGTTTCACCATGTTGGCCAGGCTGGTCTCAAACTCCTGACCTGAAGTGATCTGCCTGCCTCAGCCTCCCAAAGTGCTGGGATTACAGGTGTGAGCCACTGCACCCAGCCTCTGTTATTACTATTATACCATATATCCTTACAGTCTTTTGGGTTTTGGTTTTTGTTTTGAGACAGGGTCTCACTCTTTTGCCCGGGCAGGCGTACAGAGGTATGATCATGGCCCACTGCAGCCTCAACAGGGTCTCACTGTGTTGCCCAGGCTGGTCTTGAACTCCTAAGCTCAACTGATCCTCCCACCTCAGCCTCCCAAAGTGCTGGGGTTACAGGTGTGAACCACCACACCCAAACTGTGCGGCCCAGTCTTTTTTTTTTAATACAATAGATGATTTTATTATTTTCAGAACAATACACAAAGCAACCTGGAAAATACGAAAAAAATAGAAGAAAAGAACATAGCTGTAACTCTCCTACTGAAAGTCAACACTGTGATGCATTTCTTTTTATTTTTAAATTATTATTTTATTAATATATTATTACTTTCTTTTTGAGATGGAGTCTCATTCTGTCTTGCAGGCCACCATATTGGTAAGGCAGGTCTCGAACCCCTGACCTCAGGTGATCCACCCACCTCGGCCTCACAAAGTGCTAGGATTACAGGCGTGAGTCACCACGCCCAGCCTTTTTTATTTTATTTTATTTTATTTTATTTTATTTTATTTTATTTTATTTTGTATTGCACAGGCTAGTCTCGAACTCCTGGGCTCAGGCCATCCTCCCATGTCAGCCTTTCAAAGTGCTGGGATTATGGGGGTCAGCCACCACACCTGGCCTGTGGTGTATTTCTTTCTTTTTTTTTTTTTAAGATGCAGTTCTGCTCTTGTTACCCAGGCTGGAGTGCAATGGCACAATCTCAGCTCATTGCAACCTCCACCTCCCAGGTTCAAGCAATTCTCCTGCCTCAGCCTCCCGAGTAGCTAGGATTACAAGCATGTGCCACCACACCTGGCTAATTTTTTTTTTTTTTTTTTTTTTTTTTTTTTGTATTTTTAATAGAGACAGGGGTTTCACCATATTGGTAAGGCAGGTCTCGAACCCCTGACCTCAGGTGATCTGCCCTCCTCGGCCTCTCAAACTGCTGGGATTACAAGCTTGAGCCACAGCACCTGGCCTGCCTTCAATGTTATATTACATGTTTTGTTTCTTGAGATGAGGTCTTGCTCTATCGCCCAGGCTGGAGTGAAGTGGCCATCTTGGCTCACTGCAACCTCTGCCTCCCAGATTCAAGCAATTCTCATGCCTCAGCCTCCTGAATAGCTGGGATCACAGGTGCCCGCCACCACACCCAGCTAATTTTTGTATTTTTGTAGAGGCAGGGTTTCACCATGTTGGCCAGGCTGGTCTCAAACTCCTGACCTTAAGTGATCTGCCTACCTCAGCCTCCCAAAGTGCTGGGATTACAAACATGAACCACCATGCCTGGTCTACCTGTTTTTTTAAATTAAGATAATATTTGCATGTGTCAAAAAAAACCAAATTGTTCAAAATCAAAAAGTGGAGGTTTCCTTTCTCCCACAGATAGTTCACCCCCTGAAGTAACAACTAGAAAATGCAGGAAAATGGCCAGGTGTGGTGGCTCACGCCTGTAATCCCAGCTATATGGGAGGCTAAGGCAGAACAATCGCTTGAACCCGGGAGGTGGAGGTGGCGGTGAACTGAGACCATGCCACAGCACACCAGCCTGGGCAACAGAGCGAGACTCCATCTCAAAAAAATAAAAATAAAAAAAAATAATAATAATAAATTTTAAAAAGTTAGCTAGGCATGGTGGTGTGCACCTGCATTCCCAGCTACTGGGAAGCTGAGGCAGGAGGATCAATTGATCCCAGGAGTTCAAGGCTGCAGTGAGCTAGGATGGCACCACTGAACTCCAGCCTGGGCAAAAAAGTGAGACTGTCTCAAAACTAATAATTAATAATAATGCTGTGATGACTATCCACTTGCATAAATCTGGGCACGCATTTCTGATCACTTGGTCAGACAACATCCTCGCTTTATAGATGAGGACAGCAGACCCAGAGGAATGATTTGCTGGCACAGGCCCATCATCCAGGGCCTATATGGGGGCTGCTCTGTCGGGACGGTGTGTTCTCCATTTTTATTTGGGTCTTACTGGGCAGCAGCAGCAGCACATCTCAGGCAGCAGGTGAGAAGGAGGGGAAAACAGCCAGACGCAATGGCTCATGCCTGTAATCCCAGCACTTTGGGAGGCGGAGACAGGAGGATCACCTGAGGCCAAGACCAGCCTGGCCAACATGGTGAAACCATGTCTCTACTAAAAATATAAAACTTAGCCGGGCGAGGTGGCGGGCACCTGTAGTCCCAGCTACTCGGGAGGCTGAGGCAGGAGAATGGCGTGAACCCAGGAGGTGGAGGCTGCCCTGAGCCGAAATTGCACCACTGCACTTCGGCCTGGGCGACCGAGCGAGACTACATCTCAAAAAAAAAAAAAAAAAAGGAGGGGAAAACCTCATTTTCTAACTGCCACTTCATTTCTTTCTTTTTCAGACCCTTTGCAGAAATCTGCAATGATGCCAAGGTGCCAGGTGAGTCGGAGGTGAAGAAGCCGCCCTTCTGCCCCATGGGGACCAGTGACTGTTCCTTTTGAAAAAAGAGGCCGGGCGCGGTGGCTCAAGCCCATAATCCCAGCACTTTGGGAGGCCGAGACGGGCGGATCACGAGGTCAGGAGATCGAGACCATTCTGGCTAACACAGTGAAACCCCGTCTCTACTAAAAAATACAAAAAACTAGCCGGGCGAGGTGGCGGGCGCCTGTAGTCCCAGCTACTCGGGAGGCTGAGGCAGGAGAATGGCATAAACCCGGGAGGCAGAGCTTGCAGTGAGCTGAGATCCGGCCACTGCACTCCAGCCTGGGCGACAGAGCGAGACTCCGTCTCAAAAAAAAAAAAAAAAAAAAAAAAGGTAGAGCTGGGCACAGTGGCTCACGCCTGTCATCCCAGCACTTTGGGAGGCCGAGGCAGGCAGATCACTTGAGGTCAGGAGTTCAAGACCAGCCTGAGCAACATGGTGAAACCCCATCTCTACTAAAAATACAATTAGCTGGGCGTGGTCGTGGGCACCTGTAATCCCAGCTACTCGGGGGACTGAGGCAGGAGATTTGCATGAACCCAGGAGGCGGAGGTTGCAGTGAACTAAGATCGCGCCCCTGCACTCCAGCCTGAGCAACAGAGCGAGACCCTGTCTCTTAAAAATAAATTGAATAAATTTCTTAAAGGCAGAGATAGATGTGGTCCAGGTGGGCATGCAACAGATGGCTGACCACCTTGAAAAATATATAGCCCCTCTCCACCCTGGTACCTCCCCAGGGAAGCTGAGGTCTCCATGAATGAGGCCAGGTATCCCCAAGAGGCCCCCGGAAACCTGCAGGTGCCCTGCAGACGGGAGGCCCTGCCATAGCACCAATGAGTATAGGAGGTCAGCTAGAAGGACAAGAGGCAGGCCGGGCCTCAGGGAGCATCATGGAGGCCGCCTGGGGAGCAGAGGGGTAGCATGTGACTGAAGGGGTGAGGCAGGCGGGCACTGCCCAAGACTGGCCGGACCCCCTCCATTCTGCTGGCATCTGCAGGGTATACAGATCCTTTCGTCAGGCACCTGGGGCCGCCTGGCATGATGGTTCTGATTAAGGTGGATGATGGGACTTGGGAGAAGGTACTCCCAGGTGACTATGACGTGCACCCGATTAAGAAACACTGATTGGGCCGGGCGCGGAGGCTCACACCTGTAATCCCAGCACTTTGGGAGGCCGAGGCAGGCAGATCACTTGAGATCAGGAGTTCGAGTCCAGACTGGCCAACGTGGTGAAACCCCGTCTCAACTGAAAATAGAAAAATTAGGGCTGGATGCGGTGTAATCGCTGAGATTACGCGTGTAATCTCAGCACTTTGGGATGCCAAGGTGTGTGGATCACCTGAGGTCAGGAGTTCGAGACCAGCCTGGTCAACATGGCAAAACCCCATCTCTACTAAAATTGGCCAGGTATGGTGGCACTTTCCTGTAGTCCCAGCTACTAGGGGGGCTGAGGCAGGAGGATAGCTTGAAGGCAGAGGTTGCAATGAGCTAAGATTGTGCCACTGCACTCCAGCCTGGGCAACAGAGCAAGACTCCGTCTCGAAAAAAATCAAAAAAGAAAAAGAAAAATTGGCCTGGCATGGTGGTGCACGCCTGTAGTCCCAGCTACTTGGGAGTCTGAGGTGGGAGGATCACTTCAGCCCAGGAGGCAGAGGTTGCAGTGAGTCGAGGTCACACCACTGTGTTCCAGGCTGGGTGACAGAGCAAGACTGTGTCTCAAAAAGAAAAAGAAAAAGAAACTGATTGGCCGGGTGTGGTGGCTCACGCCTCTAATCCCAGCAGTTTGGGAGGCCTAAATGGGAGGATTGCTTGAGTCCAGGAGTTTGAGACCAACCTGGGCAACATAGTGAGACCTTGTCTCTACAAAAAGTTTTTTTCTCCCATCCAAGTACTAACCAGGCCTTCTGAGATCAGGAAAGATCAGGCGTGTTCAGGGTGGTATGGCCATAGACCAAAAAGTTTTTTCTAAAATTTAGCAGGGCATGGTAGTAGGCACTTGTAGTCCCAGCTACACAGGAGGCTGAGGCTGGAGGATCACTTGAGCCCAAGAGTTTAAGGCTGCAGTGAGCTATGATTATGCCAGTGTACTCCTGCCTGGATGACAGAATGAGACCCCAACTCTTTTTTTCCTTTTTTTTTTTTTTTTTTTCCCCCAAAACAGAGTCTCGCTCTGTCACCCAGGCTGGAGTGCAGTGGCATGATCTCACTCACTGCAACCTCCGCCTCCTGGGTTCAAGCAATTCTCCTGCCTCAGCTTCCCAAGTAGCTGGGATTACAGGCTCCTGTCACCACACCCAGCTATTTTTTGTATTTTTAGTAGAGATGGGGTTTCCCCATGTTGGCCAGGCTGGTCTCAAACTCCTGACCTCATGATCCGCCTGCCTTGGCCCCCCAAAGTGCTGGGATTACAGGCGTGAGTCACTGTGCCTGGTTGAGACCGCATCTCCTAAGAAATAAAAAAGAAGGAGAAAGAAAAAATCCTGATCTAATTTTACCCCGCCTCATTGTACAGCTGGGAAGCTGAGGCGCAGAGACGCCCAAGGACTTGCCCAAGCCACATAGTGAGTCAGACGCTGTGTAGACCCTGCTGTCAGGACCACCCATCTGAACCATAGACCACCGTGGGCCACAGGGCCCAGTATGGCTGCCCAGCCAGGATAGTGATAGGATTCAGCAAGGCCACGCCACAACCTGGCCTGAGACCCAAGGCCCTGACTCCTGTCAGGACCAGGTTCACCTGGAACTCCAGAGCCTGAGGTGGCACAACCCAGCTAGAAGCCACCTCCTTCCATCAAGAGCTGATCACAAGCCTGGGCCATATAGTGAGACCCCCCCACACCCCACCGTCTCTGCAAAAGGTTAAAAATTAGCCAGGCATGGTGATGCATACCTGTTGTCCCAGCTACTCAAAAGGATGAGGCAGGAGGAGTGCTTGAGGCCGGAAGGTGGAGGCTGCAGTGAGCTATGATTGCGCCACTGCGCTCCAGCCTGGGCGACAGAGTGAGACCTTGTTTCCAAAAAAAAAAAAAAAGAAGAGCCAGTTACAAGGGTGAGGCGTGGCACTGAACACATGGATCTGGAGGCGACTTGGTTTGCGCTCAGCTCAAAGGCAGAGATGAGGCCGGGCGCAGTGGCTCACGCCTGTAATCCCAACACTTTGGGAGGCTGAGGCAGGGAGGCAGGTGGATCACCAGAGGTCAGGAGTTCAAGACCAGCCTGGCCAACATAGTGAAACCCTGTCACTACAAAAAAAAAAAAAACATTAGCCGGGGGTGGTGGTGGGCACCTGTAATCCCAGACACTCAAGAGGCTGAAGCAGGAGTAAACCCAGGAAGCAGAGGTTGCAATGAGCCGAGATGGCACTACTATACTCCAGCCTGGGGAACAGAGCCAGGCTTTGTCTCAAAAAAAAAAAAAACAAAAAAAACAAAAAAAAAAAACATGGCAGAGACACAGAAGGTCACATGAAGGTCTCAGGAGGATTTGGGACAGATGCCCAGAGGGTGGATACTGTCACCCACATCCACCACTCCCGCCAATGTGGCCATCTCTCATGGTGACTCAAGGATGGCCACAGCCCATGGACCAGTCTGAGACAGAGGGTGGGGCAGCCTCTGACTTCTCTTTCATGTGGAATCTCCCACAAAAAATCCCTCTGACTCAGAGCCTGGGCTCCTCCTGCCTCCAGGGTCTTCTCTTTCCCGGGGTCTCTATGCCACATCACAGACTCCCAGTTTCTGACTTTTCTCCACCAGTTGAAGAGACATTTGCCCCATGGACCCAGCCTGCCCTTACTCTGTGTCATTAAGACCCTACTGGTCGGCTGAGTACAGTGGCTCATGCCTGTAATTCCAGCACTTTGGGAGGCTGAAGCAGGAGAATTCTTTGATCCCAGGAGTTCAAGACCAGACTGGGCAACATAGAGAGACGCGTCTCGACAAAAAATTAGCCAGGCAGGGTGGTGTGCACCTGTAGTCCCAGTTACTCGGGAGGCTGAGGCAGGAGGATCACTTGAGCTTGGGAAGTGGAGGTTGCAGTGAGCTAAGACCACACCACTGCACTCCAGCGTGGGGGACAGAGTGAGACCTTGTCTCAAAAAGACAATAAAAGCCCTTCTTTATTGGGCTGGGCGAAGTTTCCATGCAGTAACCCATCCAATCAGGACATGCCGCTCAGAGTTTTACATCTTCACCTCAAGTGAATTCAGCAACCGCAGGACACCTGCCGACCCCTGCTCCGTGCTGGGCTAGGTGCTGGGTTCTTGTATGCATGCGGTGTTTTTTGAGTCTCACATCACACTGGTTTCCCCATTTGACTTAGAGAGGTTCATCGGTTTTCCCAAATTCACACAGTGATAATAGTAAGTGGCCACAGGGAAATTTGAACTTAGGACTTCTGATTCCAAACCAGAGTTTCTTTCACTGGGGCACTGCCTGTCTACTTGGACCTGTGAACTCTCCACTCAGGGCCACCATACATCAGTGATAACCATAGCGATACAATTTTTTAATATTTTAATAGAGACAGGGTCTCACCATGTTGCCCAAGCTGGTCTCAAACTCCTGACCTCAGTCAATCCACCCACCTTGGTCTCCCAACATGCTGGGATTACCAGTGTGAGCCACTGCTCCCAGTCCCAGGTCCTCTTTATACCCTCCCTGGACCACCTAGCCTGCAGGCCCAGCCTCCCCAGAACTCCCAGAGCCTCTCCTGGGGCCCCACATCCCCTCCCAGCCTTAAAGAGCCCAGGAAAGAATGTGGCCTCTGGAGTCACACAGACTTGGCCTTGGAGAAAGTCCTTTAACAGCCCTGCCCCTTCGGGTGCTCATGAGTGAAATGTGAATAGGATTTTGGAGGGTTGCTGGGAGGATCCCAGGAGAAAATGTGCAAAGCATTTAGCACAGTGCCCAGCACCCAGAAAATACTCAGAAACTGAGAATGTGATTAATATTGTTGCCATGAGTCAGGCACGATGGCTCATGGCTGTATCTCAGCATCTGGGGAGGCTGAGGCAGGAGGATGGCTTGAGGTTGGGAATTTGAGACCAGCCTGGGCAACATAATGATACAAAAATACAAAAAGTTAGCCAGGTGTGGTGGTGCACACCTATAGTCCCAGCTACTCAGGAGCCTGAGGTGGGAAGATTGCTTGAGCCCAGGACTTGGAGGCTGCAGTGAGCTACAATTGCGCCACTGTACTCCAGCCTGGACAACAGAGTGAGACCCTAAAAAACAATATAGGCCAGGTTCGATGGCTCATGCCTATAATCCCAGCACTTTGGGAGGCCGAGGTGGATGGATCACTTCAGGTCAGGAGTTCAAGACCTGCCTGCCCAACACGGTGAAACCCCATCTCTACTAAAATACAAAAAAAATTAGCCGGGCGTGGTGGCAGATGCCTGTAATCCCAGCTACTCGGGAGGCTAAGGCAGTAGAATCGCTTGAACCCAGGAGGCGGAGGTTGCAGTGAGCCAAGATCGCGCCACTGCACTCCAGGCTGGGTGACAGAGCAAGACTCTATCTCAAAACAAAACAAAACAAAACAAAACAACAACAACAACAAACAGAAAGAGAGAGGACCTAGGGCCTGAGGGGTGAGTTTGCTGGGGAGGAGGAGGGACACCTGGGAATGAGGATGCAGTGTTAACGAAGGCAGGCAGGCCAGCAAGAGCAGGAGGCCGGGGAGAGTGGGCCCTTGGGCTTGCTTTGGGAGGGAGGCTGGACAGGTGGGCTCTGGACAGGTGGGCCCTGACCCTCAGGGGATCAGGAGCCTGAAATCCTGAAAGGGGGACTTGAAAACTTAAGACAGAACACTTTTCCAGAGAGCTCAGGAGGCTGAGACAGAAAAGCCTCAGCTTCCAGCGTCAACAGGCTTTTCCCCTCCTTGGAGCCAAAGACAGCAGCATTCCCAAGCGCAAGAGAAAGCGAGTCTCGGAAGGAAATTCCGTCTCCTCTTCCTCCTTGTCTTCCTCTTCCTCATCCTCTAACCCGGATTCAGTGGCATCAGCCAATCAGATCTCACTCGTGGTAAAGTTGCACAGATTTGGACTCCAGCCCTCGTCTCTGTGACCCTCCCCACTCAGTCAGGCAGGGCCGTCTACTCTGGGATGTGGGCCCAGGGGATGGGGAGGCACTGGGCTTTGAGGGGGGAGCTTCCGGCCTTGGGGGTTATAGATGCATCCACCCGTCTCACCCAAGAGGTAGCCCATCCTTCTCACGGGGTACTCACAGGCACTCAGGCAGAAATTCACATCCCCGCTGGGCAGATGGGCCAGCCGAGGTCCAGAAAGGGACCTGCCCATGTCCTTCAGCCGTGCCAGAGCTGGAGACATGAAAAGAAATGTCACTGGCCAGGCACGGTGGCTCACACCTGTAATCCCAGCACTTTGGGAGGCCAAGGTGGGTGGATTGCCTGAGGTCAGGAGTTTGAGACCAGCCTGGCCAACATGGAAAAACCCCATCTCTACTAAAAATACAAAAATTATCCCAGCATGGTGGTGCACGCCTGTAATCCCAGCTACTAGGGAGGCTGAGGCAGGAGAATCGCTTGAACCTGTGAGGCGGAGGTTGCGGTGAGCCAAGATCATGCCATTGCACTCCAGCCCGGGCAACAAGAGCAAAACTCCATCTCAAAACAAATAAATTAATTAATTAAATTTAAAAAAAAAAAAGAAAAAAGTCTGGGCATAGTGACTCACACCTCTAATCCCAGCACTTTGGGAGGCTGAGGCAGGTGGATCACCTGAGGTCAGGAGTTTGAGACTAGCCTGACCAACATGGAGAAACCCCATCTCTACTAAAAATACAAGATTAGCTGGGCATAGTGGTGCATGCCTGTTATCCCAGCTACTGGGGAGGCTGAAATGGGAGAATTGCTTGAACCTGGGAGGTAGAGGTTGCAATGAGCCAAGGCCTCACCATTGCACTCCAGCCTGGGCGACAAGAGTGAAACTCTGTATCAAAAAGAATTGGCCAGGCACGGTGGCACATGCCTGTGGTCCCAGCTACTTGGGAGGTTGGGGTAGGAGGACTGCTTGAGCCCAAGGGGACTGAGGGTGCAGTGAGCCATGATCATGCCATTGCACTCCAGCCTGGGCAAGAGAATGAGACTCCATCTCAAAAATAAATAGGCTGGGTGTGGTGGCTCACACCTGTAATCCGAGCACTTTGGGAGGCCAAGGCAGGCAGATCACTTGAGGTTCAGGAGTTCAAGACCAGCCTGGCCAACATGGCAAAACCCCATCTCTACTAAAAATACAAAAATTAGCCAGGCATGGTAGCCGGTGCCTATAATCCCAGCTACTCGGGAGGCTGAGGCAGGAGACTCGCTTGAACCCGGGGGGCCAAAGTTGCAGTGAGCCGAGATTGCGTCACTGCACGCCAGCCTGGGCAAAAGAGTGAAACTCCATCTCAAAAAAATAAAAAATATCAAATATAAATAAATAACCTCTGAGACAGCCCCTGCAAAAACAGAGCTAAGCATTTTGGGTTTGTTCCGCATCACCTGGAGTCCTAGCCCAGTCCCTTTGTCACTCTCTGTAGCAATGGCCAGTGTACATGGTGGACTATGCCGGCCTGAATGTGCAGCTCCCCGGACCTCTTAACTACTAGACCTCAGTACTGAATCAGGACCTCACTCAGAAAGACTAAAGGAAATGTAATTTATGTACAAAGTGTATATTCGGATATGTATCGATGCCTTTTAGTTTTTCCAATGATTTTTACACTATATTCCTGCCACCAAGGCCTTTTTAAATAAGTAAAAAAAAGAAAGAAAAAGTGCTGCCTTTACTTTTATGGTCACTGTTTCACATTCTCGTTTGGATCGAGGCCGCAGCTGTCACTGGGGACAAGGTCGGGAAACGCAGCTCAGGTGGCCTGCCCTCTTCCTCATCACAGCAGAGGTAGTGTCCAGGAAGACCTCAGAGCTCTTTGTGCTCCTGGGAGCATGTGATATCAAGAAGAAAAGCCACGGAAGGAAAATGTGCCATGGGGCTGGGCGTGGTGGCTCACACGTGGAATCCCAGCACTTTGGGAGATCGAGGTGGGTGGATTGCTTGAGGTCAGGAGTTCCACCTCATTGGGCTGTAATATCAATGTTTTGGGAGGCCAAGGGGGAGGATTGCTTGAGACCAGAAGTTTGAGACCAGGCTAGGCAACACAGTGGAACCCTTTCTCTAGAAAAATTTAAATGTGGCTCACACCTGTAATCCCAGCACTCTGGGAGGCTGAGGCGGGTGGATCACCTAAGGTCAGGAGTTTGATACTAGCCTGGGCAACATAGGGAGACCCTATCTGTACAAAAATATAAAAATGAAGCCGGGCATGGTGGCTTACACCTGTAATCCCAGCACTTTGGGAGGCCGAGGCGGGTGGATCACCTGAGGTCAGCAGTTCAAGACCAGGCTGGCCAACATGGTGAAACCCCGTCTCTACTAAAAATACAAAAATTAACCAGGCGTGGTGGTGGGTGCCTGTAATCCCAGCTACTCAGCAGGCTGAGGCAGGAAAATTGCTTGAACCTGGGAGGCAGAGGTTGCAGTGAGCTGAGACCATGTCATTGTACTGCACCTGGGGCAACAAGAACGCAACTCTGTCTCAAAAAAAAACAAAAAAAACAAAACAAAAAACACAAAATTAGCCAGGCATGGTGGTGTGCACACCTGGAGTCCAGCTACTCAGGAGGCTGAGGCATGAGGAGGTTTGATTGCTTGAGTACAGATGGTTGAGGTTGTAGTGAGTCGTGATTACACCACTGCACTCCAGCCTGGGCGACAGAGCAAGACCCTATCTCAAAAACAAAAACAACAACAAAAAAAGCGTTAAATATGGTAAATGTCAGAGAGGGAGGGGCCCATCCCGGTGAAGCACTGTGGCTGGATGGGAGGCACTTTCAAAAAGGGATTTGGAGACCAGGCGCAGTGGCTCACGCCTGTAATCTCAGCACATTGGGAGGCCAAGGTGTGCGGATTGCCTGAGGTCAGGAGTTCGAGACCAGTCCAGCCAACATGATGAAACCCCATCTCTACTAAAAATGCAAAAAAATTAGCTGGGCGTGGTGGCGTGCGACTGTAATTCCAGCTACTTGGAAGGCTGAGGCAGGAGAATTGCTTGGACCCAGGAGGCAGAGGTTGCAGTGAACTGAGACTGCACCATTACACTCCAGCCTGGGCAACAAGAGTGAAACTCCATCTCAAAAAAAAAAGGGGGGGGCGGTGGGGGCAGGACAAGTATTATTTTTTCAGAAGCAAGGTCCTTCTGTGTCCCCAGGCTGGAATGCAGTGGCACGATCATATCTTCCTGCAGCCTCAAACTCCTGGGCTCAAGCAATCCTCCTGCCTCTGCCTCCAGAGTAGCTGGGGCTACAGGTGTGAGCCACCATGCCCAGCCAATTTTTTTATTTTTTTGTGGAGATGGAGTCTTACTATGTTGCCCAGGCTGGCTTCAAACTCCTGGGCTCAAGCCATCCTCCTGCCCCAGCCTCCCAGAGTGCTGGGATTAGAGGCGTGAGCCACCATGCCCAGCCTGGGATGATTTTGGATAGAGCTCTGGAAAACTGACAGGCAGAGTGACGGGTCCCAGCTGTGTCTCAGAAAGACCACTTGAGGGGCAGTTGGGAAGTTGAAGGAAGTGACAAAACTAAAGGCAGAAAGACAAGTCACAAGAGCGTGGCAGGCATCCAAGACTTGGCACCCAGTCCCTGCTCATTGACTCAACACATATTTACTGAGCCCTGCCCTTCTGGCTGGGAGGCCAAGCAGCTGAGTGTCCTGACTGGGGAAGCGGCTGCCAGGGAGCACAAAACAGAGTAAGGCTCATGCAGTGGCTCAGGCCTGTAATCTCAGTGCTTTGGGAGGCCAAGGTGGGAGGAGTTCGAGAGGCCAGGAGTTCGAGACCAGCCTAGGCAACATAGTGGAACCCTTTCTCTAAAAAATTTTAATTAGCTAGGTATGGTGGTGTGTGCCTGTGGTCCCAGCTACTCTGGAGGCTGAGGCAGGAGGACTGTTTGAGACCAGGAGTTTGACACTGCAGTGAGCCATGACACTGCTCTTGAGCATGGGCCACAGAGCAAGACCCTGCCTCTGAAAAAACAAAGCAGGGGACCTCACCTAGTGCAGAAAGTAGGAGGAGTCCTTGAAGCTGAGGCTTGAAGAGCAAGTGAGGCTTTGGGGGCACAAAGAGAGGAGGGCTGAGGCAGGCGGGTGTGTAACAGGAGAGCCATGTGGGCAAAAACGGAGCTGGACAGGGACTGGGTGCATTCCAGGAATAAGAAGGTGTCGCCAGAGTAGACGCAGGGTGGCTGGAGGTGACATGTCGGGGCAGGCGCGGACTCGGTCAGGGTTCCCAAGGACGCTCAGCAGGTGTCTCCCACACATGGTGCCGGGCTGAAGTGGTGGGCAGAGGCGGACATCCAGCCCGGGTTACGTATGCCCAGCCATGCGCTCTGGGACAGAGCTGCATCCTTTTTCTCACCGACCCACGTGGAAGGCCTCATGAGCCGGACCAAGGCAATTTCCAGAGGGCAAATGAGACCCACAACAGGAAGTACCCGGGGGAGAGCCAGGCCTAGGTCTGCATTTTGGAAGGGTGCCCCTGCCCGCTGGAGACATAGGAGAAGGAAGGGAGGAATACATTGGAAGACCACCTGGGAGGCTCCAAAAGAAGATAGCAGTGGAGGCCAGGCGCAGTGGCTCATGCCTGTAACTCCAGCACTTTGGGAGGCTGAGGTGGGTGGATCACCTGAGGTCAGGAGTTCGAGACCAGCTTGGCCAACATAGCGAAACCCTGTCTCTACTAAAAATACAAAAATTAGCCGGGCATAAGGCTGAGGCAGGAAAATCTCTTGAACCCAAGAGGCAGAGGTTGGCAGTGAGCTGAGATTGCACCACTGCACTCCAGCCTGGGTGACAGAGCAAGACTCTGTCTCAAACAAAAAAAAAAAGAGAGAGAGAGGCCGGGCGCGGTGGCTCAAGCCTGTAATCCCAGCACTTTGGGGCGCTGAGACGGGTGGATCACAAGGTCAGGAGATCGAGACCATCCTGGCTAACATGGTGAAACCTCGTCTCTACTAAAAAAAATACAAAAAA